AGATACACCTGGATTTAGGGTATAGGGTTTAGGGTATAGGGCTTAGGGGTTTAGGGTTTAGGGTTAAGGGACGCCCACTTGCTTTCAAGTGTACGGAGGTGTTTTAGGAACAGGTGGGTGGCACTTCGGTGTCTTATAAAAGGAGTTTTGGGCATGCTTTCCGGGGCCAAAGAAATCCTACCCGGAAACTAGGAACTCGTCATCCTGAACCCTCATTTCTGAGCCCACAGCCCTGTACTTTTCCCTGAAGCCATACGGCTTTTTAAGCGAGGCCTACATTGACCTCATATGGCCTCATTACCCGTATGCCGCTTATATGATGGGGGTACCTACCTGGTAGCTCGCATAAACCCTGAGGGCTCAAGTACCCAATTGTCAAGGCCTCTACTCCCATTTAGAGAAGAGTAGTTGGGACCTAAACTCTATAAACCCTGAACCCTAAACCCAAAACCCTGAACCCTAAACTTGGTCCTTGGCAGTGTGCCTGTGGTTCAGGCGGAGTTGGATTTAAGCAAGGTGGGTTCATGCTCCCAATAGCAACCCTCTTAGTCATGAGTTTAGGGTTTTCGGTTTGAACCATGAGGGTTTAGGGTGTAGGGTCTAGGGTTTAGGGTTTTCGGTTTGAACCATGGGCTTTGCCCAAGGGCCCCTATGTATCTAGATTACCTTGAGGGTCCAAGTACTCAAGCGACAGGGTTCGACATCCCAAATACTATATTCTGAATGGTTTGGTGGGGCTAGAGCCCTAATATTTGGGCATTTGGACTCCTAGTGACCGTTTCTTCTGGGCTTGCTATGCTACGAGCTTGAAACTGAGCCTCGCCTGAATCAGACACCCTCAACTCTAGGTTGAGGTGGTTGAGGGTCTACCTAGACCCCCCAAGTACCATAAAATAGGGTCTATGTAGCTTCTATTTGGGGATACCGGGTCCATAGAGGGTACTTGGGGGGTCAAGGTAGGCCTTCGGGTTCAGGGTTAGGGTGTCGAGATTATCAAAAAAGCAACAACGGTACCCACAAGCAAGGGTTTGTACCCGACATTTTTGCATCTTTACATTTTCTTGAAGGTCTAGGTTAGTCTAGGTAGGAAAATTGACATTAAACTGCATACTTTGCCTCCTGGTGCTTCGTAAAGTGGTAGTTTCCCAAAATAAGGGGGCACCAATATAGACGCAAAAATGCAATAATCCTTAGTATTGAAACCCCCCCCAAGATGATACGCCGAATATTGGGAAATCCTAAACCCTTAACTTTACATTTCCCCATATTTTCCTCATATAACCCCTAGATTCCCCCTAATCGCACCCCATCGGAAACCCAAAACAGTCCTATCATATCCCTATATAACTTCTACATCCCTTTTAAAGGTGCCCCTTATCTTGGAAACCCTAAAACATGAACTCTACATATCCCCAAAAACTAATATCCCTACATAACTGAACCCCCATATCCCCTTTAAACCTACCCCAAATGTTGGGAAACGCTAAACTTTAAACTCTACATGTCCCTAAATATCGCTAGGTAACCTTTTGGGAAACCCAAGTGGACGTGAGACCGAGGTGCCAACTGAGAAGCAGCTAATAGAGCTCTCAGAGATCACTTGGGAGGCAGTGCGTGCGGGCATTTTAGGGCTGTAGAGGTTAGGCTGGATTGAGGGTTTAGGATTTAGGGTTAAAGGGTCTTTCTAGGGTTGAAGGTTTAGGATTTAGGGTTGAGGGTCTAGAGGGTGGGGCAGCTTACGTAGAGGTTCAGGGTTCGGAGTTTAAGAGCTTCAGTTACAGGAGTTCGCCATGGCCGTTTGGAGTCAGGCGTGTAGGGTTTGAGGCTTCAAGGTTTCAGGGTCTCGGCTCTGGTTATGATTTCGGCTGAATGATTGTTGTGAATCAGAGTGGGCCAGGGAGTTTCTAGCTGATAATGTAGACCCATGATTAATAAACCCCCTCCTTTTAAGGGCCTTCATATTCGGATCCCTATTATAACCCCTATTATGGGGAGGGGGTTTATTTATTCAGGGGTCTACCCTAAACCCTAAACCCTAAACCGGTTCGTAGGCTGCGGAGCTGTCACTCAAAACTGTTCTTGACGTCTTCTGCCTCATAGGTGTTCTCAGCGTCTTTTTACGCAAGGATGCCGGCCCAAGTACCTACATGGGAACCATAATGAGAGTACATGATAACTTGAAATTTACAGCCTAACTATGGGATATGGCATTGTACTTCTAGAACCTGGTGGCGCCACATGGCTTATTCTGTCTGAGGCTCATATAGGATGCTGAATAACAATCAAACTTGCATAGCCAAGAACGGTAGGGTTTCTTGCAAGGACCGGCGTGAAGGCACGTAATCATTCCCCCGAATCATAAACCACCTCACCCAGCCTAAAAACCATAATCAGTATCCCCCCTTTGATCATGTGATCATGGTACCTATGAGGAATATTTTGTAGTAGGTCCGAAGCACTGAACCCCAAACCCTGTATTGGGGGGAAGAGACTGGCTTGGGGAATTTGAGCCCAAACTCCTCCGCATTAGGGCTGCAGGTTACTTTACTATAGGACTGGGGCTTAGATAGGGTTAAGGGTTAGGGTTTAGGGTAACATTGCATGGATCACGAGGTTAAGAGCAGCTTGGAGCTTAGGGCTTTTAGCATTCCGTGGCTACTGAAGTGCTACGTGCACGGTTGCCCAGTAAGGTCTGGATCATGTTATGACAAGACCATTTTGGGCTATTATTCTACCTACCTTTGGGGTTCAGGTAGGGCTTGGGGTTTAGGATCTAGGGGGGAATGCGACGGTTGGCTTTGCACGCAAACAACGATCGGCTTTTGTACGCTGAGCTCAGGGCCTAAGGAGCAAAACGTGAGGCCCTAAACCCCTAAACCCTGAACCTTCGGGTCTAGGCTTGTCCGGAATAGTTGCCAGTCTGTAGACTGCACTCGTGTCTGCTCGTGAGCCTACCTAAATAGCTTGTACTGGCTTGCTGTTAAGGATCTTAAATTAAGTCACCATACTGGGCATGCATATATACACGTTCTGGAGAGTGCGACGGCGTGGAGGGCTGGTTTTCTCGAGTAAACGTGC